AAGTGTTCACAGCCGGCCTTATTTATCCTTCTCTCTCTCTCTCTCTCTCTCTTTTTTGGAGAGGTTTTTTGCTATAGGGCGCGTGCGCTCACCAGAAGGACAGAAAGAGATAGAGAGACAGAAAGCGAAAAATCACCCTCCGGGGGGGATGGCCATGCCACAATCCCTTCTCCTCCATTCTCCTCTTGGGATCTTGGGCATGTATGTACACGTGCCCGGAGTGAGTTTAAGTCACTGGGTCCAGGACACGAACCGCGGTCGACTACATGGGAGTCCAGCGACATAGCCATGACGCTAACTGCTGGTCCCTAATCTTTCTCTTACAATATTGCTACAGGCACACAGCTGCAAGAACAGCTACTGGAACTTACTGCTGACACGTGTGCGGCACCGATTATGTCTGTCTCTCACTGCACCGCTGCAGAGCCAAGCCTGTCTCAGTCGGCAGACAGTCCCTGTGCTAGGCCAACACCTACTTCTAAAAACAGACAAGAAAGTACCGAAAGCCTAAACAGGGATTCTTTTTAAAATTACTTGTGGTAACCTTCAATAGCCACGTCACGGTCTGCTGCTACTGCATGAAGTATTTTCACCGTGGGACCTGCATCTGCCCAGAGGTACCTGTCACCGTAAGGACACAGGTTAACTTACTAGGAGGGTGGGGAGCAGGCTGGTTTCTATCTTCATGTCAAACTGCCGGTGTATTCCTCTTCAGGAAATAAGGTTAGTGTATTACAATCCAGTGTAGAAGACAGGACAGATTATGTTATAGTGATAGATTTGATTCCATTGTCATATGGAGCTATTCTTGTCTTTAATTCATTCATTAAACAAAAATCATTTATGCGTCTACCATTTTCCAGGCACTGGGCTTGGTGCAAGGGTCAGAGAAAGGAAGGAACGAGACAGGAAATTTATCCTCATGACGGCGGAGTCTTAAGCAGAAGCCAGACATCTAAAACATCATTATGAGCGAGGGATGTGAGGAAAGAACAAGTACCGGGGCCCTGGACTTGCAGTGGGTGCCGTGACCTGTCTTGAGGGGCAGCCCAGAAAGGCCTCTGAGGAAATGACAGCAAGGCTGGGATTAGAAGGAAAATGAATAGTTTTCATACAGGTGCAGGAGACCTGGGAAGGGAAAGCAGGTTCCAGGCCGAGTACCCGGCACACACCCGGAGGAATCCAGGACAGTGTTGCTCACAGGGCACGGAGGAGCAGAGTGAGGGGAGGCTGCCAAGGCAGGCCGGGAGTCCGGGTCAGGCGAGGAGAAGTCAGGCAGACAAAGGCCCAGGTAAGGAGTGTGGAATTCAGTCTGTGGTAACAGGGAATCCATTAAGGGTCTATCATTCAGTCAGGGGAGCATTCTTCTGGCTGCAGTTGCTTAAAGAGGGAGAATGGGTGCACGCTGGAAAACGAGTTAAGACGGTTCAGAGAAGAGATGATGACGACGACTTGGACTTGGGTGATGCCAGTGGAGAGGTGAAGTAAGCAGTCACGAATTCACTTAAATGAGGTGGAGTCGGCAGACTTGCCGACCAACTGGATGTGAACATGAGAAGGAAAGAGGCACCGTGCACAGGTAAGGAAGGGAAGGGCTATTACGGAAGGAAGGAAGGTGAGCACGCCAGTGAGGACAGGAATGGGTGAGCCACTCAGGGTACTCAGGAAACGATGCGGAGCAGACCATTAGAGAGTGTACAGAGCAGTTCTAGAAACGATCAGCACCAAGCTGATGGGTGGAGGAGTACTTGGGGCGAAGGTTATTGGTAACCTTGGTCAGGGCAACTTCCATTGGATTAAAGTTGAAGAGTGAATGGGAGATAGGAAAGATGTGGAGGGTAAGTTATGCAAGGGTCAAAGAAAAAGTATAGTAGCCAGTGGGCAAGAGAGGGAGATTTTTTTTCCCCAACATAGAAAAGATACGAGCAATTTTTAATGAGATTGGCAGAAAGCCTGTAAAGAGAGTACAGTTGAAGATACAGGAGCAGCGCTGATCAATAAATAGCTCGAGGCTAATTGCATCTGAGAAAGCCCAAGGGGATGAGATCCAGGACTCAGATAAAGGAACAGACCTAAACAGAGATATGGCCTATTTACATCTGACAAAGAGCTAGAATGAACATTTAAGTGACTAAAGAAATCTCATATAAGACAGGCCCTTTACTGTTCCCTAAATTGTATTTATAGACAAAACAGTGCGTTTAAAAATATGAACCTCTGTGTGTGTTCGTATATAAACAAACAAACAAATGAGCCTGAATGGCCAATTCCTGTTAATAGGCTGGTTCCGAATGGAAGAACGATC